GTGAGGAAAATTCTCCTTCTAGTAGTGTATATTTGTTATAAATAAAAGCAGCTGAAAACAGAGAGCAAGCCCACCAATGCAATACTGAGAGCATTCTAAATAGTCTATTAGTTCAAAGACATTAAAAACATCCTAGTACTTGTCCAATATACAAGTCAATAGATGGAATGAATGCTGAAAAAATATTAAACGGTTTCAGTTTTCATTGTTATTCTAATAAAAGAAAAAAACAAATTATTTTTTTTACCAGATAGTGGATTGAGAAAATACCAAATTATTTTTACTAAATAGTGGACCTAGTCATGCAGTTCAAATTCATGAAAAGTGTGTCTCTAATCTCATCTTCCCCTTCAAGCTCTCAATCCTGTAGACTCTCAGGTACCTGTGTAGTGGACTTAAACATGTACCTAAATATTTGTAAGACTGAAATCTTATGGTTGGCAAGATTAAGCCCAGTATTCCTTTTTAGATTGGTTATATGCACTTAAAACAAACCATTGTTTGCATCAGACTTCCTGAAACAAATCACACATTTGACCATGTTCAAAAGCATGCAAAAATCAGGTCTCAGAGAAATAGATATTGCAGATACTCTAAAAGGATCAGTGTTGATGCGTTTTAAACCAGTCTTTTAAGATCTTCCCATTGAAACGGGTCACTGTACAAATAAGTCAAGTCTAAAGCAGTTAAAAAATGGATTAAGGTATGGAAATGGAGGCCACTTAGAGGAATAAAAAAAAAGAGAAATTTACAAAGAAAAATGTAACCTCAAAATCTGTAGATCATTAATTTAATGAAGAAAGTTTTTCAACGCACTGGAGATTAAACATGCTTCCAATATGGACACCTCAATTTTGAGATGCCCATCAGCATTTAACAGACAATTTGCATTTGTTTTAAAACTTTAGGTACATATCTGAGGAAATGTAGATCCCTACAAAACAAAAAGGGCTCAACATAAAAATGCAGTACTTTTATATTTCAAGCTCTAAAATGATGCCAAATGTTCTTTGTAGTGCCAAATGGCTAAAAAAAAAATATTCTGCACATAAACAGCTCTCAAATAATCTTTTTTCTGACAATTCTGGATTTCTCATCATTTCTCTTCTGTTGTGTATTGGATTTTTTTCTAATTGGTAAACATTATAAAATATTTTAAAAATATGATTAATCCTTTCAGTTGCACAGTTAAACCTTACAAGTTATTTTACAAGAACACTAACAGTTGTACAGTACTTTGAGAAATAACTTTTGCTCACTTGAACTATTACAGTAAATGTTCAGTTTTCTTAATAAATTAGAGCCCACTTATCAAATAAGTCTGATTTGTGATACTGAACTGAGTTTACTTCTGTATTTAAAATGGAAGCCTTTGTAAGAAGACCATGTATAGCTACAATATGGCATTCCTATTGTCTGGATGCTACATAGATCATCACTCTTTCAGTTGCGGCAAAAGTTTTTAAAAAATACTTGGAAATATTATTTAACAAAATACAGAAAATAGTGAAGCATTTTTTGCAGAATTTCATTTTCTACAACTCATATTTCTCAAACCGCTGATATACAGACTAAAGGCTCAGCACTGACATCAATGGAACAGTACCTTGTACTAACTAGAATGGCCTCAAATTCTGCTGATCATTGTAAATGTGCCTGACTTTAAGCATGAGCAGTCCCATGGTCAGAGTTAAGCACATGTATAAGTTACTGCAGAATCAGGCCCAATGTTCTTCATTTTCTGGAGTTTACTATGATTTTTGAGAAATTAACATATGCTAAAAACTTCATTGCATGAAATCTTCCAAGAGGAAGAAGTGTGTTCTAAGAACTATTGTTATAGGAAATCTACTCCTACTAAAGTAGCAACCTATTTTTTCTTTAAAGATATTAGACAAATCCAGAGTGAAATGATAAAATCTAAAAACAAGTGTTCTTGTCAGAAGAGAGGAAGAAGGATTTATTCTCTCCCCTTAAGGAAAACAAAGGATTCCTGAAAGTCTTGCATTGATTTATTTTTCCAATTTTAAATACCTTAGGAGTAGCGGAACTGCTACTGGCATGGTAGTATTTCTAACAGTCAATAAATCTAAAATATTATGTGTGAATATTGGAACGAAGCCATTAAGAAGATTACAGCATGCAACGCAGCAGAGGGTCCACATGAAAAAAGGACTGGTAATTCAGGACAACTGTGACCACTGACCTTTGAACAGTCAAGACCACTGGTCAATCTGACAAAATAATAGAGTTCACATGCATAGAAAGTCATCTAGCCTGTAAGTATAATTTAAATGCTTAAGTGAATGATTTAAAAAGGTCCTTAAAATCCCAGTTAATTTATTATACAGTATATTAGACACAATACCAAACAGTAATGCATTTCAGATTTTAAATTATAATTTTAAAAATGTTTATTCATAATAAAAAAGCATAAATGTTTACAAAGTCATATTACTACATATTCTTAAACGGTTACACACCTAACTATTGAAAAAATACCATCTTCAGACTTATCAATTATGAAAGCTATTATCTCATTTCCTTCTGGACACAAAAGCCAGATTTACAATATCCTTTGAAAAAGCTAAATGTATTATATTGGTTGTGAATTTGTCTGAAATCAGTTTTTGGAGGGGGATGGTAAATTTAAAGCTTCCTTTATACTTTCAGCAGTTTGCTCTGCTTTAACACTTTTAATTGCTATTCCTGTTTATCCATTTTATCAAGAGGTTTACCACCCTTGTCTCTATACTTGTGAGTCTTATTTATATGAATTTAAATGTTTTACATCTGCAAGTACATCTGCTGTGAACTTTTCAGTCTTACCAATGATTACGGTATTATAATCTTTTATTACATATTTTAGACATTTATACACATCTGTTAATAGTTGTACTTGAAATTGCTCTTACAAATGGAAGACAGTGTGCTCTCCCTTGTCATTTCATATGCCAAAACCTGTATATTGTCTTTGCCCTTTGCTTAGAGGTTTTCACCTATACTGGTATGTGTTTTTAATTAACAAATTAATTCCACAAGGAAAATAATTTCCTTGCTCAACAAAGAAAGCAAGAGATGGGATCAGTCAAACTCAATATAAAATAATGTATTAAAGCTTGTTATATCAAGGAAACTCTGTTTAAATAAAATCCTGCAAGTAAGACATCCACAAAAGCACAGTTTTCCTTCCGTGTTCTACAGCATGTACGAAGCAATGTATTCTTATAGAAAATCCACTGTGTACTCTGCGTGGCCAGCCTTCATTAACATTAATGGGACTTACATGCACAGATCCTGGGGGAAAACACACTTCTAAAAGTAAGGAGGTTTGTATTCACTATTTTTTTAACCCAGCCTATCTGATTAGAGGGGTATTTTGATAAGCATGTTTCAACTTACTGAAAGCCTCCCTTTCATTGAATGCACTTACTTTTTTTTTTACAATTTGAAATCATTTTTAGTAATAGCCCTGTATTACGTAAGACAATACATAATTTTTAATTTATTTACCAGCTACCACTTGACCAAGAGCATATGAATTTTCATGGCAAACATTCTAACCTCCACAAGATAGGCTTTTGCACTTCAGACGAGTTTAACATTATTGACAGAGCATTGAATGACTAGCTTTTTTACTCAGTTTGTAACACTTGTATAAAATAGAGTACATTTTTAATGGTCCTTAGAAATACATTACGATCAGACGAAACATGCCCAAAGTCTATTTCCTCTATTTGACCTTGGACATCTGACACTTAATCTACCTAAATTCTCCCCTGATTATTTCAAAACCTTCTACAATTTAACAATATGAGTATACATTGGATCTAACCATTAATGCAGTCATCAGGGTTTTTCCTTCTGTTATGCAAGTATTCAAATTACCACTGATTTAAAGACATAGCCTGTTAGTCATCACACTCCCTTAGTTTAAGACTTTGGGTTTAAAAAAATTGAAATTTCAATAAAGGCTACTATTTGATTTTGCTTCCTTCTTTACAGCACTCTGTGTTTACATCAACTTAAAATACCATACTAGTACTGTCTCTTGAATATCTAGAATTCAAAACACATTGTGGTTGGTATCACAAAGTTACTCTTTCAGCACTGTACTGGAGAAAAGCAAGGTAAGTGTAATGCATTTTTGCGACCATTTAAAATGATATACAGAATATGTTACATTATAAGCAGAAGGAGTCAAAAAAAAACCCCCACCCCTCTGTAAGATCAAAGTCCAGAAAGAACTGGCACTTAATTTATCATCCTTTACAGACAAAAGACAGTTTTCGTCATTTCAAAAGGATCAGATGTCTTTTATGACAAACTGGGTTTGCAGTTTAATTTACAAATAGAATTCTAAGTAAGCAGTCTTTGCTCTGCCAAAGCAAATGACAAACAGTATAGGTTTTCATTCATGTGGCCCTCAGCAGGATAGAAGAGATTAAAATAAAACTGAAATAATTTAGAGAAAACAAATAAATGTTTCAGAAAGTTGGAGAAGATCAAAGCCTGAATTTTCTGACCCCAACTGTACAAGCATTTCTTATTATATTGACCAGTGCCATCAGATCATTAATTAAAAGGAAAAGCGCTGGCAGGTGGCAGGGAAGCAGAAGCCGATAATTGGCCCCCTTCTTCTTTTTGCCTTCAAAAACTCTCTCGCTCTTTTGCAAGACATGCCACTAGGCAGACAGGAATGCCTACTTTGTAATATAATGATTAAGATGAGATGAAGAGACTCTTGCGTTTAAAGCAGCTATGCCTAATGAATGCAGCTAGCTTTATAATTATGATCCTACTTTTACAATAAGGAATATGATGTTCCATTCAACATCTCCTCAACTGTCAAAAAGGTAAAAATCTTAAATATGGGTCTGCAGCTGGTGTTTTTTCCCCTTATTCTTTTTATTTCAGTTAGCAAAAGCGGACAAAAATAAGTATAAGTAATTCAAGCAATGGGGAGAGAAAAAATACTATGAAATACCCATTAGACTTACCACTTCACTAGGCAGGTTGTTCAGGTCATTAAATGGGGTTTCTAAAGTGTTTGTGTCAACATTTAACAAAACCACATCGTCCAGTGATCTATTTTTTACTCTCTGTTAAGGAAAAAAAATACAACTGTGTATGAGGACTCAAATACAACGACCTCATAAATAACACATTTTTCTGCTGGAAAGAACTATGGAAATTATAATCATTTAAAAATAATTTAAAGGTAACATCATCATGTTTCAGATCACGGATATCATTTTAGGAAGTTTTAAAAAGTACCTTCCTCATCAGAGAAAAGCAAAGATGTATAAATACAAACAGTCTGCAATAGTCACATTTACCAAGGAACATCAAAATCAAAATTAATCATTTTATTTGGATATTTCTCAGGCCAATATCTGTTCTCAATTTAAACCCAGGCAATTCCACTGTTGGCAATGGAGTTTCACCAATCTAACTGAAGGTGAAATTTGATCCTTCAATACCTTTTCTGTTTTGACCACTAATAAAATAGTTCACTGAATTTAATTTTTTATGAAATATAAAATACTAAAATAATGTATGCTTTCAATATAATTATGACCAGCTACATGGAAGACAGAACATTATAATTTAGCAACTCCTGGAAAATATATCAGACTAGTGCCTATCTTTGTGTTTCTAAATTTCCATAGTCACACGTACATTGTGTGACATAATTGTTGGTTTTTTTTAATACAAAATTACTATTTACCTTTGGGGAAATTATAATGGTAAAATTAACATACTGTAATCTATAATACATTATTAAAATACCTTTTTAGAAAAATAATTCTATTAAAAATATTGAGTTCACTCTAACAAAATCTAAAGATTTGACTAATAAACTCTATAGGAGAAGGCTAACAAATGATTTGGGTGACCATAATGCTATAATAATTTGATGTCTTTTACATCAACATGTCAGAATAACACTGTCTGTCAGCCAAAGAGCATGACGATTGGTGAGACAGCTGCATCCACAATTCAGTCATCACTGAAACAAAGAAAGGTGCTGCATAACAGTTGAACTATGGTTGAGAAGGGCCTGGCATAACAAGATCAGCAAAAAGGGAGCAAATGGACTAAAAAAAATCTTATTGTAAAAGGATTAGTCAAACAGGTTTGGTGCAAGATAAATTTCAAAGTAAACTCATAGTGTTCTCTTTAAACTGAAATCAGTAGCTTTAGAGATTAACACTATTTGAATCTGTAAGTGACAGTAAGCAAACAAAGTGAACTTATGGCTGTTTCTAACATTTCTCCCTTAGAATATCTGATTTTGTTGGAAAAAAATTAGACAATTAAAATTCTTCAGTACCTACAGTACTGATCTTCTTTCATATGGCTGTCTTGGAGCAACAATTGTAAGTCCAGTTTAAGGTTAGTTAACCAGTCTCATGCTCTTGAGGAAAAGGAACGTATCTCTGCAATGTCACCATCAAATTTGTATAAAGTGCTGTTATGTGGTCCATAATTTGATGAGGATTGCCACATTAACTGTAGATTAACTGGTAGTGCATGCTGCACACTCATTTTACTAAATGTACACCCCCTAAGCATGTGACGCTATTTTCCTGACATGACGCAAAAAAACAGAGAAATTTGAGGAAGTCCTATATCTAAGATTAGAAAACAATGAGCATTTAAAAATTATTAATAAAAATGCAAACAAAATATAATATGAGTAAAATTAATTATAATAGTCTAGCACCTTATATTTATGGAAAACAGATGATGAAGCTTATAATGTAATCATGCTAGAATTAAAAAGGAACATCAACTAATGTTCCTAACTAAGTTAAATCCAGAGAGTCTACTTGTTTTATGGAAGTAAAGGTGAAATACTTTTTTATTAAAGATCACAAGGTAAAAATTCAGACACTGCTTCTTTGGAGAAAAGATGCAAAATTGGTTCCTGAAAATAATATGGATTTCGTAAGGAACTCATTTTCAGAGGAAGTACATCTTTGAAGATTTTTTTATTGTCTTGAGGGCTGAGACAAAAAAAAATATTCTCATGTTTCAGGAGCCGTAATATCAACACAATAGCATATCTGAGTGTACCATTTTACCTGGGAATCTCTGTCATTTGCAGAGACAGTAAGGTATCTTCACTTGGTAGGCTGAACATGGGGGAAAAATTCCTTCCTTAATTTAGCTAATGTGAATTTACTCTTGTATAGAAAAGAATTTATTGAAAGTTCTTAAACAGAAAATTGACATTATTTCTTCTACGAAAATCAGTAGCCAGATTACTCGCACAGGGCCAGTGATGTCTTCAACTCTAGGTACAAACATTCAAAAAGCCCAAGACGGAATCCAAGTTACACTGTTTTGTGTAAACAGCAATTTAGGTTGGTAGTGAACAAAACATACCTTCACCCTTTGATGGGAGAGGGAGGACACACATGCACGCATGCGTGCACATGCAGTTTAGACCAGGTTCTGCCATTTTTAACCCAGTCTGCATGTGCCAAACTTCTGTTCTGTTACAGGTATAGATCAATTTCTGATCACTTATACCGGTATAAGTGTAATGTCTGCACCTGACCCAAATGATTACAAAATGATACTTAAGTGAGCTTCTGTCTCTAGCGTGTTACAGATTTCTCCATGATATCTACAAACCCCTGTCATGCTTCTAAAATTCTAAAAAAAGGTACTTATTTTTGGGTAAAAGAATACTGCTTTATTCTTAAAGGCATCCTAATAACATGAGATTATTCTGGTACAAACATTATATTAGAGTAAGATGAATAATTATATTCAATCCTTCTTTTGAATAAAGAATCCTAACACACAGGTCCTTGGGTATTACTAAGACTCCAAGACTAAAACTGCCATTTAGGGTTCACTTTTTGAATTCTCACAAGTCCATGTCTACCAAACATCTATAGTGAAAACTCCCAAGTATAATCCAGGAAGTCGGTCCAACCCCATGCTGAGAACTGATGAGTGTTAGACCACCTCCACAGGTTACACTTAAGGCATGACTAACCAGTTAATAACTGGTTAATCACACTTTGCACTGTGACCCAGCTACACATTCAATTAATCAATGGTGTGATAAAACAAGCAATAAGCAACTATGTTATCCGACAAAAAATGAACTTTAATAACTTTGTGGCTCATTCTTATCACGCTATTTATTGAACATGTGGCCAGGTGCTCCCCTGTGGCTGGGAGGCCCATCAGGTGACAGAGCTCCCAGTCACAGAGTGCACCACCCACTGTGAGCCTTGTCAGCCGACAAGTCTCGCCGTGGGGGCAATGGTCCACATATTGGCCCCACTGTGAACCTCGTCAACTGAGAGGGATCACAGCAGAGCCAGGGTTCCATGTGCAATCCATTCTGTCATCCACTGTGGAGCTTACAGAAGCAGGTGCCCAGAATCGCGATCCTGGGCTTCCCCAGCACCAGCAATAAGGCACAACAGGATCTTGCTGCTCAATCCCACAATCACACCCCCTGCTATGCATATATGGCATGGCAGGAGGCATGACTGTGTGATCATGCATCAGATCCTATGACACCTGTACCTGACTATCCGAAGGGGGCTCTTAGGGCCTTACGTCAAGGCTGCCTCCTCACCAACCTTCCCCAGCAGCATACATGGGACTCGTGGCTGCTGTAAACCATAAGCATAACCAGCAGCAACCCCGCAGCTGCTGCTTCTTGATTTCCAGCCCTTATGCATTCTACTACCACCCATAATAATGGCCAAATACGGAAGGAACAACAAGTAGTCCACAGACTGAAGAAAGGTAAGCACTAGCTGTTTGTGCGGGTCCCAAGATGAGATACAGAGAGGGGAAGGATGGCTCCTATGTCTTGGCTTGGTTGAAGATGACTCTCAGGGGAATCCTAATTACCAGCACAGACTTATCCCAAAAGAATCTTATTTACTATCATTATCAGGAAAAATTAGAGTTGTGGCTCAACTATTTCAACACATTATTAGCACCGACAACCTTACTGAACCAAGTAAAATTACATTTTAAAGATTAGATTACATAATAGTATATGGAATGACAACCGTATACAGAGTGATGAAAATCAGCCGCTTCCTTCTAAAACTGCTGTGATGAAATTAAGTTGATTTTGCACTGAAGATTAGTGAAGCAGTTACACCCATATATTATGCTGGGAGCCAAATATTTTAAATACAATGTACAAGGGAATGCATACAAGATAATTAAATATCAACAAAATCATGCTGAAAAATCTGAATCATATTTCAAAACCTACCTTTCTTCCAAAAATGTTACTTTCACAGTGCTTCTGAATGTTTGAAGTTAATCATTCCATTATGATATGTTACATTAGGATTCTTAGGCAACTTCATTCAAATTATTTTCTATAATACATATAATTCTATCAAATGAACTAATCAATTATTATGCCAGGGACAGAAATAAAATATTTACCATTTTAAACATATACTACATGCAAAGGATAGGTTGAAAATTACTTACCTCTATTAAGCTTAAGTGAACTCCAATTAGATATGGCATTGGTGCACTACAATAAAAAAACAAACAAAAAAAATTCAAATTCTTTTGAAATAAGAATGGTAAGTATGTTAATCTTCTAAATATGAAATAAATTTAAAACATCCTCTCCACACAGCAGTCTCCAGGTGGCTTACACTGTTTCAAACACTATATTGCATATATTTAATCTAGATCAAGCATATGTAGATTTAATATCCAATAGAAATAAATTCTCCAAAAATACTAGACATGGTTCCTAACAATGGGTATATAGTAAGATGGTTAAAACTAGTTGACAAGTTTGTCTTAAGAAGCCTACAAGACATCTTGAATTAGCTTTTTCCAACTTTGCTGAAAGTTCAGGTTTAAATAACATGGATAACATATTACAAATGCTGCCCCAGATAAGTCATTATTTGGCTCTCAATTCATTTTAATTTGACACTTACATAACATTCTGGAGAGTGTGTTCTTTACTGACTAAATTCAGATTATTGCATCATCACATTGTAACACAAACTTTGTAAAAACCTAGTCTAACTCAATTCTCTGTACTATGTGATTAACAATCTGGGTTCAAAGCCCTTTCATAGCCTAGCAATTAACCCCAACCTCTGCTAATTTAAAATTTGCATAATATGTTACTAAAATACAACTCAAAAGTTTCTTATTTCCACTTGTGAATAAAACTAGGTGCAAAAAGCTCACAAACAATACCCTAAGGTGAATCTAAGTTTCTGCATTCTGAATCAAGAAAAGCCAGTGGACTGAGACCATCAGTCCTACTAATTTACTATAGTTGATCTGTTGAATTTACAAGGCACTTATCCAGTACACTTCAATAACTTGTTAGAAGCAGTATAGACAGAGGGGGATGGGGTGACACCATGTTTCAAACAGATTTAATACCAAACTATAAAGTATTGTATACATCATGGAGAACTAAGTTAAAAAACAGGAACAAGAATAAGAGACATGGGAGTCTTAGATGAAAGTGCACTGAGAAAACACTGATGGCCTGTCATAAGGCCCTTTTTCCCCTAGTAATCCATGAACTTTCAGTCTCCAGTGCTTCGTGGATCAACAACATTTGGCCCTTTGTTATGAATTCATAAAGTCTGCAGGAGTGTGAACCATTGTTTATGAGTCAGCACTTGGAGTTAGTAATCACATCACTTTCAATCCAGTAGTCAACTGAATCTGTCAATATTACATATGTAAAGACTAGATGCATGCTACAACTTCATATTCTTGTTAAGGCAATGTTATCTTTGGTAATTACCATATTTTTCATGCATCACATGACCACACCTTGCAAGATTTTGTTTTGGGGAAGGCAGAGTGAAAAAAAAGAAACAGGTTTTTCGAGAGTTATAGCTGCACAGAGCAGGGACAGAGCCCAATCTTCAGCTTCCTCTTCTCCCTTTCATGGTCAGGCAAAAGCTTCAGTTTTAACAGTTTTACAGCTTTTGACTGCACAAGCAAAAAGCTTAAACTAGCTGCTGCTGAAAACTGGACTCCATGTGCAGATCTAGGATTTTGAAACAAAGTAAAAGTGTCTGCAGGATGGTGAAATAGGAGAGAGCAGGACTACCTAACAGAAAGCAAAACTGGCTTGACACAATAGCTTGATTCGCAAAACATCAAGATAATTAAAAAGGGAAAGGGCAATTAACACCTATGGAGTGAAGAGCAATTAGCAGGAATTAGGTATATTACAATAAGACATTAAGTCATTTGGCTCCCTTAGCACTGCCTGAATAGAAATGCCACTAATGTTTCTAGACAGTTGGTTTTAAACTTTGAGTGGAACAGGAATCAAAGCTGTGTGTGACTGCACCAGTACACAATTCCTTGATCTGCCCCTGAAGACTGTGCACCTCTCTCCAGGCACCTCTTGGAAAGAAGAGAAGAAAACGAAGCAGCAGCCACCTTTCAATATCCCCAGGGTCTGGGCAGAAAATCAGCAATTTTCCAAATTTAAGGCATGTACCCACATTTTAGAAGGCTAAGTTTTGGCAAAAAGGTGTATGTGGTATGGGTGTAGAAAGAAAAATAGAAAAGAGTAGATTTATAATACATGTGACCTACTGTACTAATTAAGACTACAATTTTTCTTGGATTAAATTGATAAGACTATATCCAATATATGACATCATGAGAAAAAACTGACAAAGCTGATATTTCACAGGAAATACCTACAGAAAAAAAGAGTAAACTAGTAGTAGCCACAGCCAGAAATGGAGAAATAATTCCAAGGCTCAGCTTATCACACAGAAGACGACAAAGAAAACTACAAAAGTTGTAGTGCATAATAGAACATGAATTTAGATGAATGAAACTGGTCTCTGGTGGCCATCAGAAAACACAGATAAAACTTTGGATGAATATGAAAGAATTACACTGTTCATGTAATCATTTAACAAAGTTTAAGATTATGGATTTTTTTATACAGATCATATATTTTTTAAATTGATTTCACATTTGCTTTCTGGTATTATTTTTCATTTATATGCTGGGATAATTAAAAATATACCCTACCATGGGGGAAGGCTCTCCCACCCATGGCATTATTGGAGCCTGCTTTAAGCATATAACAAAATAACAACAGACTATAATAAAGTCTGATAAAAATTAGAAGTGTTGGACACAATAACATTCTCCCTAATTGGCACTACAGAGTTTGTATACAAAGCAAATGTTGTATAGTATAGATCAGTGGTTTTCAACCTTTGTTCATTTGTGGATGTCTAAAATATTTCAAATCGATGTGCAGACCCCTTTTAATTGCAAGTGTGTGTATTCACATACTTTTGATTAATCATAGTAATCTTTTGCAGACCCCTTAGACACAGTCTGCAGATCTGCAGGGGTCCGCAGACCACAGGCTGAAAGACACTGGTATAGATGATAGCCTGAAGAAAAACATCCCATATTTTATCTTGAGAAAGATGAGCACACACTACTTTTGAACACAAATATTCAGTGGTGATTACGCAAAAGTGATTGTAGCATGTCCATTCACAAAAAAGGGGATGTGATACTAAAGCCTAGTGTAAGCCAATAAAAGCAAAAGCCAAATTTACAGCTGGACCCCACTTTTCTCACTATTTGCAATTCCCTGTATTTTCTAAGACCACATGATTTAAAGTTATGGATATATAATATAATATAATATAATATAATATAATATAATATAATATAATATAATATAATATAATATTAGCTTATTGTCTAATGATTGAAGTCAGACCCTTACTTTTACATTTCATAGGCCAGGTGTATCTGTTTTTCCGAATTCAATTGGGCCCTTCCACATAGCTTAGTTTTCCAGGTGTGTAACCACAAAAGGAGAAAGAAGCCCAGAGGTCAAGGTGTGAGCAAGAGAACTGACATTTCAGTTGTCTTCTGAGCAGCTTCCCCAATTTGTCAGATTATAAGTGGGTGCCATGATATTCTTAAAACAGTTTATTTCATTTGCTGTTTGAGGATCCTAACTGTGCTTATGCATGAAAGAATTGCTAAAACCCTCCCCCTCTACAAAGGTAGAAATTTTGAGCATGTGCAGTGGTACAACTCTAGGCATGTCCTGAATTTTATTTTGGAAAATACAGGCACTTACAGGAGTTATGTGGGCATTTTAAAGATTATAGTGTGTTAGCACAGATAACCTGACATGGAAATATTGGTTAAGATGAACAGGGCTAGACTGAAATACAGTAGGCGTTTCCAGAACCCGTACAATGGATAATAACTCCTGCCAAGAACTCCTTAGCACTCAGAAGTGCACCTTAAGTGTTCGATTGGTGTTGAACCAAAATATACGGTATTGGTGCTGAACAAAAATCTCATAATGACACTGCCATCAGCAGCAAAATGGTATGGTGATTCCCAAGTTCAGCTTCAAAGAACTATTTTCCAAAAAATATTAATTACTGTAACTAATACTCTTCAGGTAAACCCACATAACTTAGCCTTTTTTCCTACATATACCTACAGCAAAAGTTAACCTTGATATAACAATAGAAACTTACAAACTTACATCTTTAAAACTCGATAGAGTGAACATGTTTAAAACCATCTTATAGTGTATATTGTATTTATTTATGCAAACTAAAATTTCTGGGCTCCTATACATGTGCAGGGAGGCTGCTCCAACGTGCTGTAATTACAGCACATTAGAGTAGACTTGATTAACTGAGTCTGCTGGAGCGTGGTAATAACCAAAAAAGGGGCATATAGATTAACAACTCCTCAGCCTAACTCTCTGAAGGCTACTTTCATGGTAATAGTGACAGATTATAAAAAAACCTGTGATGAAAAAAGATAGTTACCCATGTTAGGCTGAAGTTAGGCAGAATGGCAAGGCAGGCTGGCACTGTAGGATGCCTGTAGATGTGCAGGGAGGCTGCTCCAATGTGCTGTAATTACAGCGTATTGGAGCAGACTTGATTAATCAAGTCTGCTAATTAGCATGCTCCAGCAACTTTCACATCTCACGTACCAGTGTTCCTGTGCTTCAAAATGGTGGCCAGGGCACTTTAACTAAAGCTTGCTTGATGAGCTTTAGTTAAAGTGCCCCCACTGAGGACAATTCAATTAGAACAGCTTCTGAAGCTGCTCTAATTAAAGTGCCCCACCTCTGGAGTCTGCCTTTATAGACTAACTTATTCCAAGATGTATGAGCTTCTATATGCAACAGCTTATTTTGTCATATGCTAACGAAGTAGGATGTAGCCTACCAAAGCTTCTCTGAATTAGTCTAGAAGGTGCCACTTTGCCCAGCCTTCTACAATGAAAAAATTACATACGTTAAGTAGTTAATTTATACACACTAATATACTGCCGGTAAAAAGTGGGATGACTTTTTCACCTTCAACAGAACGATCCTGACTTACAACAGCTATGGAGCTGATCTATTAACCCTACCATTAAAAATAATAATAATAATAATAATAATAATAATAAATGTAGCACATGGCTTTTTTCTATTTTTTTTCCTGTTCTCTTTTAAAAGTCTGAATCCCC